GTGGTCATAATAATCTGGCCACTCAGTGTGTGTGTGTGTGTGTGTGTGTGTGTGTGTGTGTGTGCGTGCCTCACAATTCCACGCCATCTTTAACTTCAGTGGCTCACATCACCACTCTATTCCCATCACCCCAAAAGTTGGCTATATCCTGGAATTTATCACCCTCCAGTTCTACTCTGAACTCTTAACCTCTGCTTCCTATTTACTGGTCAGAAGCTCATATCCTTTTACTCTCATTGCATTGTTAGCTTATCCTTTGACCATATTGAGGCTTCTATTCTCTTTCATTTCCTTTTAATCTCTTAGCCCTTCCTGGTTATTCTCCCCAAGTGATGTAGGCCTCAATATCTATTGCTCTCATCTTCCTTGCTACCTTGTCTGCTACCTAAATCTATCCAATGAAACTATCCATTCAAACATCTGTCTCAGGGTCATGCACTTAACCCAGTGTAAATGCTACTGGGTTCATAATCTCCCAAATATTCTGGCATGCTGGTTGACAATCTTGCCTCTCATTTTTCACAGCAGAAATTTCAAACATGATCTTTCTTTTCAAGCCCCAACCTCGGTCACCAACACTCGCACCTTCAGCCAATATCATCTCCAACATCACACACAAAAAAACTATTTTGCAGAAATGATTGCATCGCCCTACTTCTCAACCAGTGTTTTTCTATAAACGTTTTTTACATCTAGGTAAATTCTCATACTTTCCCTCTCAGTGGAAGAGTTTTCCCTCCTCTTGTCTAAGCATAATCCTTGTTATCTATTCTCTAGTACTCATAGCCTTTGAATTTCTCAAAAAATCATGTTCAATAATATTGTGATAAATTTACCTGGTGACAAATGATTACTAGAATTAGTGGGGTGATCACATTTAAGGTATGAAAATGTCGAATCACTATATTGTACATCTGAAACTAATACAACCAACATAAGATTATATGCCAACTATACTTAAATAAAAAATAAATAAAAAAAAATAAAATTATTAGCATTAAAAAATCTTGGTCCCCCAATTACCCTTCCTCTTTCTTGAATTACCAAACTCTCCCTCTGAAGTCACTCTATCCCCTCATAAATATATCATCCCAAATCACCTAAACTCTCTTGATGACTCAGTATTCTTCTCTAGGTTCGCTAACTTCCTTTCTCCTTTCATAGCTATCTTTCCAAAAAGATAATTCCACACTGTCTGTGTTAGCTTCCTCATGTTATGGCTTGGCTTCTGCTTCCTGCATTCCACTGAAACTGCTCTAGCCAACGTCACCAGCAACTTAGCTGTGGAATACAATGGGCACTGTCTAAACCATCTAGCATAACAACCACACCCTCCTCTTTCAAATCCCCCACCTTTGGATTCTCATTCCATACTTTTCTGGTTCCTTTTCAGTTTTCTTTGTAATGCAGTATTTCATTAAATGTTGATATTCCCTGTGTTACTCTCATAAATCCAATCCCCACTCTCTTGAGCAATCTTCACCACTCATATGACTTCACATAACCACAAAAGTCAATCCAACCTGGATTTCTAGATCAGAAATTTAGATTCATATAGGCGATTGCTTATTAGCTATCTCACTTGGATGTCCCACAGACTCAATCAAATTCAACAGACTTAAACATGAAATCATCTCTCCCAATATCCTGTTCCCACCTTCTACTAATTCTGCCAAATTGGCTGCTTCTCAAATAATTCACATCTTGAGGAACAGAAAAACTACAATTTCTTTAAAAACCTGGGTAACATTTTTGCCTCCTCTCTGCCTGTTAGTTCTCACAACCAGTTACCAGCTAAGTCAGACTAATTTTCCAATACCTGTCAACTCTGTTCCTTCCTCTCCTGCTCTGGAAATGCTTTAGCCAGGCCATCATTTCTGACCTGAACTGTGACCCCTGCTTCCCCATTGCTACCTGTTTCCACTTGTTCTGCTCCTGGTATCCATTCAACACACTGCAGCTGAATTGATCTTTCTGCAGCACAAATTGGGTCGTTTGGTTCTCCTGTGTTCAAGTCTTTGAAGGTTCTCCAGATAAAATATAAAGTCTGTGGTTTGTAATCAAAGGTCATCAGATACCTCCCAAGCCTAGCTGTCCAGCCTCTTCTCTTGCAATGTTCCAGCCATGCAAACTGACAATTTCAGTAGTGACAGTCTATAAGTCCATGTGGATAAAAAAGTTTCTCTCTCTCTCTCTCTCTCTCTCTCTCTCTCTCTCACTCTCTCTCTAATTTCACCTCTCCTTTAAATTCCCATTTCTCTGCACCCTGATCAACTTAAACCCAGACCAATGACATGACCATTTCTACAAGTATTTTCATATATGTATAGCTTCACTTTTTAATTAAGGCAGCCTTTAAATTAATGTGTAATAACCCAATAAGTACCTTAATTGCAAAATGGGGGTGGAGAAGCAAGGATATATTAATTATTTGCCAAGATGTGGGGGTGGGTGGGTGAGGTTAGGTTTGGGGTTTGGGATAGCAGTTGGAGTATATTAAGTATTCCTTCCTATTAGCCTAAATCTAGCAATTAGGTGTCTCTCCTCTAGTCAAAATTATTCAAAGGTTTACTCTAATCCTCATAATATATATTTCATATTATTGTATTCCCATAAAATTCCTATATCAAAGTTGATCAGGCAGGTGTGAAAGTTGACATAGGGGCACCATTTTAAAATGGAGCCGGAAAAGCCATTCCGGATGAACTGCCTTACATCTTGCCCTTACATCTTTGAAATGTTTGAACTGGACAAAATAACCTTTGGGCTGGGTCATAGCCATATTGTTTTGCAAACAACTGTAAGCTAACAGGAAAGCAGACACCCTAACCACAAGGACTGACATACTTTAGAATTAGTAACCAGCATGGATAGCTAAAAACTAACTTAGTTGTTAACAACAATAGAAAACCCTTCCCTCTCTTCATATAATAATGTCCCCTCCTTTTCCCATAAAATCCCCCTGGCTTTATCCTGCAATTGGGACATAATTTGGGCTTCTGCCTAAACTTGTGTTCCCCAATTGCAATTCTGTGATCTCAAAGAAATGCTTGTTGCTTCTACCTTGGCTTTTTATTTTTAGGGTAAGGCAGGCATCAAGATTCCCATCTTATAAATAAATGCTAAGGAATTTTGTCTAACCACAGTTAGTAGTAGAACTGAGGCAAAAACTGAGTAGCCCTGCTTTTTTAAAAAAAAGTTCATCTTGTTTTGTTGTGTTGTTAACATTATTACAGAAATCCCCTATTTCCCCTCACTTCCCCCTCCCACCCCACCTCAGGCCTTCACCACACTATTGTCCGTGTCCCTGGGCTATGCATATATGCATATAAATTCTTTGGTTAATCTCTTCCCACCCCACCCCCATCCTCCCTCCCTGCCCTGTGAGATCTGTCAGACTGCTCCGTGCATCTATGTTTCTGGACCTATTTTGTTAGTTTATTTTTTTCATTAGATTCCTGCTTATTAAATTTGAATACTGTCTCCATAAAGTCTCCTAGACTGCAGAGCTTAAAGATCTTGAGGCTAAATTGCTAAAGGTAGAATTTCAGACAGTGAAAGAAGTCTCAGAGACCAACTGCACTTGCTTTCAATACCCAATTTAGTTTCTTATCCTTATAACCCATGACTCATCAACATAGCCAACAAATTGTCCATCCCTTAGACTTCTTTGTTTCTCTCTATGGGGAGACTTTTCTTTGCAGCCTCAACAAACCACAGCAGACACTTCTTTCCCAGCTCTTTAATCCTCCTGGGGGAGCAGGTTCAGCACCTGAAGCTCAGGGCACTGGGGACAATCCCAG